TACATAGACTACGTATATGGTACACATGCACAACAACAGTCCAAAATAAAATAAAAAATTATCTTGCACGCATAACTTATATCAAGGAATAGAAAAGCCTCGTCACACTGCCTGCAATTGGGTGCTGCTAACCCACCACTGGTCATCCAGAATCAGTGGTGGCATTTCCACATTCCTATGCCAGAATGCAGTGTCCACACACCAACCTACCTCTCTTCTGACTTCCCACTCGTGCTGTGAAATGTCAGAACGTCGGGATGCTAATTTGACCAGTCCGAGAGTGAAGGAGCGTCGACTCCACCTTCACGTACACAGTACATTAGCACGTAAATGTTTATGCATGGGCTATCACGTGCTCACCACGTGTGTGTCAATTGAAACCCGGGACACCCTTGCAAATGAGACGTTCCATCTGAAGATATTGCCTCAATTAAGTAATTGGTATTTTGTGATTATCGAACCCCCGAAGGATTTGGCGTGACGTTTGATATGCGCTACATTCCCGCACAAGCGGCTTCGGACTCGACCTGAGGCTTCAGTGCTGATGGTGCCAGTGTCATTTGAATGGTGTGGGGGGACATGTTGTTGTCGCTCGAATTGTTTGCTACTCAGGGGTCTGCAATATTATTATTTATTCGCTGAAATGGTCTCTTTTACCAAGGTCCTTTGCGGGTCATTCTCGTGAAACCCGTGTAAAAAAATAAAAATCTAAATTAATTAATAAATAAAGCAAATAACCACGTAGTCCTGAATACTGCACTCCAAAGTCGTGAACATTCAATTACGGCATGCAAAGAAAGAATGACCACAGCTTAAAATGCAAATACCAACACGATGACTATTTTATGTCACGTGTGGAGCACAAGTGAGTCACCACGGTGTCTGGTGATAAACACGTAGGTGCCCATGGGCCGCTGACACAGACAGCCTTCAACACGAGCCGTAACACGTGGGCGTGTGGAACATTTCTGACGCCGATTAATGTCCCTGTACAAGCATTCACGTTCTAAGCTGCGATCACTGATGAAGTCAATACCCTCAGCTACACCCGAAATGTTACAAGCACCCTTTTGGTCGGGCAAAATCTAACTCTGCAGCAAATATCGCATTGGACCAGGATCAACATGCCCTACGATACAGTGCCGTATGGTGCTTTCAAATGTAATGCCAGTCGAATCCTGCTAATCCAGAAAATCACCGGGCGCACCTATTTTTCCTCCATATTTGTAGATTACGCATACTTTACATCACACCGCAATCACTTTTCTGTCGCCGGCATTGTTTGAAATGTTTCTCCGTGAATTCATTTAAAGCAGTTTATTTCCCGTACCAAAGTAAAAAAAAACTCTACGCATTTACATAAACGTAGAAAAACACCTTTCACCCGAGTATGGCATACATTCTGAGCAATAATTTGTACGTTTTTGCTAAACTGGAGTAGGCCAGAAAATGTTCCACCACGATTGACTTGAAACTACATTCATCGTGAGTACTCGTACTACAGCACTGTAAAAAGGCATGCATAGGAACAATGCTGAATTATTCACTTATTTAATAGGGCACAGTGGAGGCGCGATGTTAACTACCTCGCCTGCTATGCAGGAGGTCGTGGGTTTCCATCGCAACCCTGATGCCTTTATATTTGGAGTTTGCGTGTCTCTCTCCCCGTGGTCGTGTGGATTTTCCTCCGGGTCCTCCGGTTTTTCCCCTCCACATTCAGAATCAACATCACGCGTTTAAGGGTATTTTGGCTGCTATACATTGCCACATGACAAGCCACTTCTTTGAGCTATTATTTGTGGCCAGGTCGCTTCTGAAAAAGAGCAGTATAGCAGCTCAGTCGTTCTTGCCGAGTATTTTTATTTACTAACCATGCGTTTTGTCAAATGGAAGCAATTGCCCTGCTTGTGGGGAAATGTAATTGCGTAATTACCGTATTTTCCCGCATATAGCCCGCATACGCATATAACCCGCAGACTCATATACCCCGCAAAAATAACGTTTTGTGTAAAACAAATTTCAGATATCCCGCACCTCCATATACCCCGCAGGGTCTTGTATTGTTTGTAAAAAGTGGTATACCCCGCGGGTTATATGCGGGAAAAATATGGTAATAAGGGACCCATTTTGGCCTTTTTCACAGTCGCGACCCTTAAACAATGGAACAAAAAGCACTCGGTGTCCACTAACAAGCAAGGTCTACTACTATAGCCCCTGAATTTGACTCAACCCCCTCACAGGGGGAGGGGGGGGGGATTACGGAAGTATGGCTGTTTGTGTAAATTGTTCATGGATGCTATGAGTAACCACAGACCATAACTATATGACAAGCGGCTTCCTTTCATGTTGTCATGCTGTGTGTTATATTTAACACAAGAGTCAGTTTTTTATATGCTGCCATTGTGAAGCATAAATTGGATGGAGGTAGTAAAAAAAAAATACCTTGTAGATTGACCACTAAATTTAGATTTTCATTGACAGAACCGAACCGTTTGTCCATTGTAACATTTCTACTCAAAGTGCAAGGACATATATATTGTTCGGACCGACATGGAGTGGGGGAAGGCCTTCATCCACCTCCGACGAGCACGGTTGGCTACGTAAATTGTTAAAGAAGTTCACCATACATACAAACGGTGGCTAGATAAACAACTGTGAATTACCACATTAAGTGTTGTCCACAATACAAAAATACGAACATCGTGGCATCAGTAGATTGATGGAAATGCTCAAGCCAGTTATCTGTAATTGCATTAAGCCCAAAGCGGACAAAAAAATATTTTTTATAGTTGGTACCCTTCATGCCAAACAAACTCTGGATGGCCTTGACCTTGTTACTGATTGTCACAAAATGCAATTAAGAATTAATGCTTACTACAAGTTTACTGCATTGCCATGCAGGCGCCTCAGAATAAAATGAATGGGTAACAGCTGAGGAGTGCAATAGCCGCTTCAAGGGTAGTGTGGCGTGTGGGTCACAAATAAAGACACATGCGCTCTTTTGCCGGCCATGAAAGCTGGGACACTTATAAAAAAAACGGTAGTGTAGTAGATGTATTTTTAATCGGACTGCTAAACCTCGTACCACATCCAGCAGACACAAGCCACGACGCACAACACTCGGCTGTAATTGTGCGGTTAACAAGCAAACACGTGTGAACTCACTGCTTCTTACAAAACAGCAGCACCCGTCTTTTTACATTCCTGTACGGCGTGCAAGTCGTTGCAGGGTTCTGTTCTGCTCAGACACACCCCAAACCAAGCTTGGAAAAAAAACACACATTCTGAAAAGTATCTGCGACTGAACACACAAACACAGATGCAACATTTTACACTTATCAGTCAGGTGTAAATGCCATCGCTTCGCTACACCATATACAGATCATCACACAGCATGACGGGTGGTGTTTTCACGAGATACACCAAACCTGAAACGCTTTGTGGGATTCGTCACCAAAGCCGCACTGAAAACGCGGTCGGTAAATGCAATCGTTAAATACCCTGCTGTTGTCATGAACAAACCAGCGCTGCATACGTTTGTGCAAGTGCCAGTCCTCTAAAACGCGGCTCTGTATTAGGCGGTGAAAAAGTAACCCAGCTGCGTGTCGTATTGGTTCGCTCCGTTGCAATATTTGCCGTCAAGAAAATGAAACTCATCTCATCGGGTCTTAGAAGAGGGGTAAAAAGCTGGGTTTGAAACTCGAGCAGGTCGTCACTACGTGGTGGACAGCAGAGGAGGGGGGGGGGAGTGCAGCAAAATCCATTTCAGCACGGCACTTCTATGCTTCCACATCCACTCTCTCTCTCTCTCTGCCGTCACAACCCACATTGACCAGCGTGGTGAAGTATGGCCAAACAACCCGCCTCGGTGTGTGGGGAGGCCCTCATCCAGCAGCAGACTCACACAAGGCCTGTAAAAGACTCCACACGCGACATCCGACTACCGCTCTGTAATTACACAATAAAAATGCAAATGAACGCTGATTCTCTGATCAAAGCAAAATGTGCACGCAAAGTGCTTTACGATTTCAATTGTTTCACGCAGCCCTGTACCGGTATGAGAAAAGAATGCATAACACTGTACATATACTACATGGGACTAATGTACAGTACCATAATTTGTCTACAGCACTGTGTGGACACGCCAGTACTTTACTGTGCTGGGGATTGTTAGACGGCATAGCCACTTTTTAAACAGGCCTGCATTTGAGAAACTGTGAAAATAGCAATACAAAATACACATTTCCGTTAACAAAAATGACACACACAATGTGTATCACGTAACAAACCCCTTAATGAATATAAAATGTGGTACTATATGTATACATGAATACACGATATAAACCGTTTTCAGGAATCAGGCTGGCCAAGGTGCTCAACTGTGTGTGAAAGCACACAACTCAATATACAGGTAGCCACCGACAGTGCACAGGTGACCACCAATACTGCACCTCCACAGGTAGCACCGATAGCGCACAGGTAGCCACCAATACTGCACTACACAGGTAGCAGGTGACCACCAATACTGCACCTACACAGGTAGCCACCGATAGCGCACAGGTACCACCCACACTGCACCTGCACAGGTACCACCAATACTGCACCTACACAGGTAACCACCAACACTACACCTGCACAGGTACCACCAATACTGCACCTACACAGGTAGCCACCGATAGCGCACAGGTAGCCACCAACACTGCACCTGCACAGGTACCACCAATACTGCACCTACACAGGTACCACCAATACTGCACCTACACAGGTAACCCCCAACACTGCACCTGCACAGGTACCACCAATACTGCACCTACACAGGTAACCACCGATAGCGCACAAGTAACCACCACCACTGCACCTACACAGGTAACCACGAACACTGCACCTACACAGGTACCACCGACAGCGCACCTACACAGGTAACCACCGATAGCGCACCTACACAGGTACCACCAACACTGCACCTACACAGGTACCACCGATAGCGCACAGGTACTCACAGTCAGACTCTGAGCTTGAGCCCTCGACGGGAGAGGCCGCCTGGCCCATTCTTCTTGTCCCAACAACTCGCTCCTCTCAAAAATGCCCCCGGGCAAACACAACCCGAGCCTGCGTTGACTTTTTAGGAAGTCAGTTGTATGGCACTATACTGGGACGTTTAAAAAACACATAACACACACACAACAAGTGTGTGTGTGTGGTGTTCCGTTGTATTGACAGGCCGGCCTTGCGTCCCCGAAGTGACCCGACACTCCTCTCGGGTGCAGGCCGGGCTAAAAAACTTCACTCGGAACTGGCCGCACTCTGCGCTGGGGACCGGCAGTGGGCTCCTGCAACCGGAGGGGTAGAGACGACCTCGGGAGACGTCGTCACACGGAGGAGGGCTGCCGCGGTGTGGCCACGGCAGCCACTGGGGCTGAGAGCCACCCCCCCCCACCTACCCTACCACCCCTGTGACACGAAACATTCCACGCGTTCTTATGCAGATCGCCCGGCACTTAAGGTTGCCCTAGCAAGCAAAGAACAATCAAGCCTCCAGCTGCTGCTAACCTCCTTAAGGATAAAGCTGAAATCGTGTTCAATTTCAACATTTTATTTTTACACTTTTTTGTGAAACGTACACACACACAAAAATAACGCGGACTTTAACGACATATTTATTATGGATAACATTGGTCGCGAAAGCCCACGTGTTAAACCGAATAACACACACGCTTGCTTGCACGAGTGTGGCGAATCGGAGAGACGGTGACCCCTGGGTGTATAACTTGCGTCCCCTCCGCTCCGACCCTGCCACAGCCAAACCCCCACTTTCCTTGAAAGCCAACAAGCTATTTTACTTCATCTGGACCTTCATTATATGGGCAGCAGATTCTTCCCTTTAAGGCTGTCCCGTTCCCCCGCCGCCCCAGCTTCGTCAAACACAGCCGTGATTAGCAGAACGGCTCCAGAATGACAGCCAAAGATGGCACAGCGCAAGCAAGTCATGCGCGGCTCAAAAAAGGAGCCCTATTTCCACGCCTTCTCCTAGCAAATACTAAATATACGGGCAAGATGAAGACAAAGACGGACGTGGTGGGGTAGGGGGGGTAACAGAGGAGTAGACCCAGCTCAGTATGGGAAAGATCACAAGACCACGTGCTGAGAGGAACGTGCTGATATACGCATAACGAAAGTTTAGACTGCGCAATTATAAATGTGCCGTTAACCCGCCACTACCAGAAAAGAAAGGTTCGTCATGTAAACAAAACGTGCCAATTAGTTACTACTTCAGGACATCGGTTGTGTTGGAGTAAATCCACAACATTTACCATTTGAGTACAGTGATGTTTCGCTGGTGATTACAACCAGCCTCATCAGGCGATTTGCCAGAATTGTGAAGATGTCAAATGCATGTTGACCGTCGGCCTCCGAACGTGGAGATGACACAAACAAATCTGGCATATCAACGATTAACCAGCCTGAAGTCACAGACTGAGTCACTTCTGCATTCTCAATAAACACCCATCAGCAGGTGGTGACTCCCCACGTTACTTCCAACTTATACGAGGTTTCAGTCTCGCTACGTATTTTGTAAACAGTCCCTGCTTACATTTTGATTTAAAGCTTTCGTGACTGCAGGGCATTCATATTCGTGGTTCTTTCGGTAAAGCCACGTAGAAGGGAAACAATAAAATGATAAAAATATAAAATAATAAAATTCTCACGACGTTTCGACTGCAACACAAGCAATCATCATCAGGTGTGAAAATCACAGCAAGAAAATTTGAAAAAAAGTGGCGGGGTTTTTTTTTAACGTTAGCACCAGGGAGAACGATTTGGCAGTTATTCATATGGACGAGTCCATCTATGTTCGGAAAAGAGGAAATAGTTGTAAGGTTTGCATCATTTTTATCTAGTGGTTAAAATTATGCAAATCTAAAATATATATACGGTACTGTAAATATATGCTGCATTCAGAAAGCATATTCAAATGATGGCTGCCAAATATGTCAAGCCAAGAAGTTCGACTCTTTTTTGTAACCCGTGTAGATTCAAGCTTGTATCGAGGTTTAGAATGACGGGTACAAACAACATCAGATCAATCTATCAGGTAATTTGTTGAAGAATGTTAATTACTAAACATTAACACCCACCGGTATACAGGAGTTTATTTTGTAAAGCTGCCAGTACGGTCGAGTACACTGCCGCACAGAAACATGTTCCAATCCGTCCTTGGTTATAATCCTGGCAGATGTTGAAATGCTGTACTCAATGTACCGTAATCGACCGTCTTGCATTACCTAGCTTATAGAAACAAACTTTTAAACTGGCAAAACCTGTTGTTACAGTATACAGTGCAATACTTATCAGGCGAATAACAGCTTTTTTAAAGTCAAACTGGACCGAATTCTAAAACGTTCCTTCCGTAGCACATAAGAACGGTATTGGAGTGCTATAGCAAATCACTCCGGTACTGTCATATGAAGATGAATACTGCGCGTTGCAGTACAGCACTATCTTGGTACTGTATAGACCTCCGATGTGTACTGTATGTTGTCCGACGTTTCGTTTCACGCGCTAGGAGCTTCCGGAGGGAAAATTCAGTTCAGGAACTTTACAATAAAAGAACACATCCGAGAGCTATAGAGAACAAACCCAAGCACAGTAACGTTTAAATTCGCTCATGGGTTTCTGCATTGCAAGACAGAGAGATGGCTACAGCCTTGGGCAGCCCTTCATCAAGCAGTTTGAGGATGGCTGATTGTGCTGAAAAGCCAAGAAATGTCAGCCTGCTCCCCCTACAAACAATGACTAAGAGGTCGGGCTGGCCGTGCCCTGGCTATGAAACATGGCCATGCTTTTTGTCACTTGAAAGCTGTAAAATCGCCAATGTATCATGCACAGATTATGGAAATAAATGGAGTGACTCGTGAACGACCGTGACTTACTGCACGTGAAAACCACCACCTATGAAGCTGTGCTAGAATCAGCACGTAACACAAAAAAAAAACGTGTCATTTTCATTGCAAAGCACTCGAAACCCCGCATGGCCGGGGTTCAGTGTTGGGTCTGATCTGGTATCCTTGTTGGTTGTACTTTGCCCTGCCATCATATAACAAACTTCGGAATGTACTTGTAGGGTTGAATGCTTTTAAATTCATGAACATTACGCAGAACTGATGTCATCAGTGGGAACCAATTTCGCAAATCCCATTATCTGTGGGGTCATCCGAGATCTTACTCCTCTTCTCCGCATGGCAAAACAAATCACGGTCAACCCACGGATGATAGGATGAATTTGCCGCGCGACTACTCTTATCCGTGAAAATATCGCGAGTAATAAAGAGTAATGACGCAACGGACGTTACCCGCGGATAATAAGTGAGGTCTAACATTAAACTCTCCGCTTATCTGTTGGGGAACAAAATCACGTGTATTTCCCTATGCATTATAAGTAAAATCACGGATAACGGCAAATAGTAATAGGACCGTGAATTTAAATTGTTTCCACGTACTCTAACAACTGCCGTGGACAATTCGGAGTCACGAGTAATAAGGGCTCCGAATTCGAGACCTCGAAAACACAAATGTATGACATTACACTTCACTGGTACTGCATTGTAATTGCACGACTGCGACTCAACGTTGTAAGCGACCATAAGCAGAGCGTATTGCACCGCAACACAAGACTTTAAACCCTCTGTGCATATTGGTATGACAAAAAGGATGACGAATAGAAGCCACTGTAAAACGTTAAGCGCGCACGGACGGCAAAATGTCTCATAAAACCAATGTTCTGAGAAGGTTAGGTGATGAATACTGCATTCCAAAATGCGTTATCTTCCCACAGTACAGTGCCGTGTTAAAATCAGATTGAGGACAAGACCCACAGTAAACTTCGAACGTTGGACCAACGTTGGTGCGACGTTACAATTTTACTGGGACACTTTGTGTAAAAAAAAAAACCCTAAATATTTGTTGTACTAAACAAACGAAGAACGGATTCCTGTATATGTGTTTTTTTTATGAATATGCGAGAATAGTGGCACGGTTTTGTCCGAGACTGCCACTGCTGAGTGTAGCGGCCTCCAGTGGTGGAATCGTTCAATTGATGGAACATTGCACACGAATAGAGAAAACGTCGACATTCCTACTACACACAATTCATCATTATAATTACAGTACAGGTGTTTTTTTGCGAGATAAATTACTGTTATGTAAAATAAGAACAGCAATTAAGAAAACATAGAAACGAGGATAAAATCAATTGTGTCGCATTTAAAATATTTGTACAAAAATAAATCAATGTTACAAAATAAATCCCCGCGTTGTGAGCTGGGCAGATTGGTTTAGTCTGATCATTGTAGAATTACAAAAACATTCAACAGATACAGGGTGATCACTGCACTAATATGTAAAATGACACGTCAAATGTATGCAAAGACAAAACAGTACACGTCCGTTAATTAAGTGCCTATGTACAACTCAAAATTGGATTTCTAAAGGACGTACAGGAATAATAACACGTGGAGGCGTATGGATTACGATGTCTTCAGCCAATTGGTGTTTATTATACAATTTAGAGAAACCGGAGCATCCGGAGAAAAACTATACCACTATTTTTTTATTTTACAAGGTAAGGCCCATTGAGCTACGTAGCTCTTTTTGAGAAGCGACAAATGACGGCTCAGCGAAGTGGATCATCATGTTGACTTTTATAGCAGCCAAATACTCTCAACGCGTGATGTTGAATCTAAATGTGGAAGGGGAAAACCGGAGGACCCACAGAAAAATCCACGCGACCACGGGAAGAGAGACACGCAAACTCCAAATATACAGACGGGTGTTGTCAGTGTCGAGATCGAGCCCACGACCTCTTAGGTACAGCAAGCGAGGTAGTTAACGTGTGGCCACGCGGAGTCAGGGGTCATCATCACCCCATACACACGTACAGGACACACACACACGTGTTCTGTTCCGTACTCCTCTCGTACTATATACATATTCAGTCCTGCACTCTACTGGATAGAATCCTCCGACTTGAAAAATCGTGGCAGGACGCTCCTGAAACTGAGTCATGGGATTCAGGTGAGGATAATAAATCAAATAAGTAACAAATACTAGCCAGTCGAACTACAACACCACCCCCGGAGTATGATCCCACACCGCACTATACTACACTGCACACACTCGAGCCAATATGCATTGGGCCCTATGCACTCTCTATACAGCGGCACATCGCCTCGTCCTCCTCCTCCTGTGCCGAGAAACACCGTACGGTAAACAATCGTGTACGAACAAGATATAAACCGACAACGTGTAACGAACGTACGGTACATCGATTGATTTGTTTCAAAGACAATTTTAAGCGACATCTGCTGTGCGGGTCTACTCACTTCGTTTGACATCCATGTTCAGGTGACGACGATGTCCGGGGGGCAGAGTTGGTGGTGGTGGTTTTTTGTTGTTGGAGTTTCTCGCAGCTTGATGAAAAAAGGCAGCAAACGCGGGCGAGGAGCCTTTTGCAGCAACAACAAAAAACAAGGGGTGCAACCAAGGGATGCAAGGGAAAATAATCCAAACGTTGAAACGCAGTGCTGGGAACGCCAGAGGGCCCCGGGTCTCAAGTCGAAAGCGAGCGAAGCCGAAGCCGGGGCCGGGCCGGGGCAGATTTGTGGCCACCGAATTCAGCAACGGCAATGGCAGCAACTCCCTCGCAGAGATCCACACCCCGAAGTCTGCCGCTGCTGCTTCATGAAGATCTGGTCGAACGAGTTTTCCGTCCCAAGTCTGCACCGAGGGAGGATGAGGGGAGGGGGTGGGCGAAAGTGTTCGTAACACGAAGAGCCAATTGCATCCACGGTAAACAACTTTACAGTGCAGCACTTAACAGAAGACAAAGATTCACCCCTCCCACAGCCACCCACCATCACCCCCGTATAGTCTGATCAGACTGTTTGGGAAGGTTGTCGTGAGCGAGCAGGCAACCGATGAAGGCCGGGCACTTGTGGCCAGCACCACGCCCCGACCGCCTTTGTCCCTTCACTACGCACCGCACCAGGAACTCACTTTGAGGCTGAGTCGACCTAGGGGAGGCCCAGGGCCGGTTCAAATGATCGTCACCGGTGTTGACCGTGACCGGGAATCGAACTCGCGTGGCCGGGCTTCGCAGTGCAACGCGCTAACCACAACACCCACCGCTCCCCCGCACATCGCTTCGGGGTATCTCTCAAAATACACAAGGGCAGGAGAGTCGTGGTTGGCCCCACTGCGAGCCAAGATAAACTCCCCCAGATATAACAACACACATGCCTGCATAATGACTCGCCTTATGCACACTCACTCAACACCGACCGGCTTAGAAGGCCGCACGCACTCGCGCGCTCTTCTTGTTAGGAGAAAGACCGAGACGGGCCGTCATCATGATGGGCATCAACTTGCAGACGGGCGCAGTGGCTCAGAGATTCTCACAGTGGTTCAGAGATTCTCGCGGTGGTTCAGAGATTCTCGCGGTGGCCCAGAGATTCTCACAGTGGCCCAGAGATTATTGCGGTGGCGCAGAGATTCTCACAGTGGCCCAGAGATTATTGCGGTGGCCCAGAGATTCTCACAGTGGCCCAGAGATTCTCGCGGTGGTTCAGAGATTCTCGCGGTGGTTCAGAGATTCTCGCGGTGGCCCAGAGATTCTCGCGGTG